TCAGCCATCAGCCATCAGCCATCAGCCATCGGCACATCCACCAAAGTGCCGGCAACGCACCTTAGCACCAACGTATGCACGCCCGCCTGCACGCCTGCAGCTCCCCGGCTCTGTTGCGAGGGCGAGCCTCCACATTGCGTGTAGCCTTTATCGTGCCACTTTTTTTTGGTGCCATTTCGGTAAAGCTTGACTTTCCTGACACGGACGAGAAAAGCGGTCGCGCGTCGCCTGTTGGCTGCTTCGGAAGTCGGACGCGATGGACGAGGAGGCGCATCTTTTTCTGGCCATGCAGATCCGCTCCTCCCATCATCACGCTCATCATCATCCTTCTCCTCGTCAACAGCAAAGCAATCCTCAGGGAGTCATCGCGCGAGCACTAACGTCATCTCCTGCCAAGCGTCTGGTCATGCGCCCTGCACCGCTCCCTGTCCATACCCTCTGACGTGCTTCGCCTCCACCGCGCGGCGACTGCACCATGTCGGACACCAAGTCCGCCCCTCCACCACAGAAGGCGGCCGCGCCCGCGGCTCCAGCAGCACTGGCGCCGTCACCTCCGTCCGCATCCACAGTCCAACCACTGATTGCCTTTTCCACCATCGACGCGCCTTCCCAACGCTTCTACGCAGTCGGCACCGCCGTCCTCATCCAGGCATGGAAGTATTCTAGGATCTTGAGACACCTGCTATCCTCGTCCTCGTCCACATTCACACCCACATTCACATCCACATCGACCGCGCCGTCCCTGTCCACCGCCCTCTTGATCAACTTCGCCCTCCTCTTTGTCCTCTCGCGCCTCGGCATCCCCCTCCTCGATCCGCGACTCGCTTCCTCAACATCACAACCACCACCATCCAGCGCAACCCAAAAGCCCATCCTTCAGCCAGCAAAGCTCGCAGGCCTCACATACATCCACTACGTCCTCATCTTTGTCGCGCTCTCCTTCGCAGATGCTACGCTCATCGGCAGCGCATCCACAAACCCACTCGCTCTGGCGCTCAACGCCATCCTCGCTGTCCTCCAGATCCTCACCTCCACCCTCGGCCTCAACCTGCCCGTGACCGGCCTTCTCCCGGACGCGCTCAGCCGCCAGGTCTCCATCAACGAGGGGCACGTGCGCATCCGCGACCTCATCCAGCCAAAGAGCCACATCCTCGGTCAGCACACGATCCACATCCTCCCGCACAGCACCGCAAAATTGCTCCCTTCCAGCGCCTGCTACTGCGTCGGGCCATCCACCCCCCAGGTCACCGTGCCTGTCCTATTCAGCAACGCACAGCCCGACCTCCTCCAGTACTCCATCACCGACTTTGCCTCGGGCCACTCCACTTACTTCAACGTCAGCGTAGACAGCCTCATCCCCTTTGGCTCCTCCCTCGACAACGCCGACTCCGCCCAGCTCGACGCCATCTCCGCCGCAGCATCCTCCCAATCCAATCGCCAGAATCGCGCTCAACGAGACTTGCTCGACGACGAAGATGCCCTCGACGACACATCCTCGCTCTTCCGCGGCCTCTCCTACGCAGAGCGTGCAAAGATTCGCGCACAACGTCGCGCATCCTCGCTCGACACGCCCAAGTCCAAGCGCATCTCCTCGCCTTCCACCCGCAACGCGCAGCAGCTGCTCTGGCATCTACCCATCACCCAGCCCGGTCGCATCCGCCTCGAGCGCGTCCTCGACAAATCGCGCAACGACGCTCGCATCTCGACCGCAGAGGCGCTCGTCGTCCAATGCCCCTCCGCCAAGCTCATCCCGCCGGCATCGTCGGCCCCTTCCGCTGCCACCGACCCGATCGCTCTGCAACACAAGTGCCCAGGCGACCGCGCCGACTTTGCCGCGCAGGTCACCGGTGTAGCGCCGCTCGAACTCGAGTATCGCCGCGTGTTCGAGCCCGTCCTTCCTGCCGGCGCCTCGGGTCGTCAAAGAGACTCGTCGCGCAACGAGTTCAAGCGCAAGATCTCGCGCATCTCACCGCCGCACCACACCTCGCCCCTCCTCCTTCCCGAGGCCGAGGCGCTGCTTTCCCCCACCGACCGTCTCGAACTGGCGCGGGAGCGTACGCGTGCGGCCTCGCGTCGCAACGATGCCGGCACCGAGGACTTCTCCTGGGCCGTCTCCGTCGACGTCGACATGCCGCTCAGCACAATCGACCTCGACCTGCCCGGCAACTACACCTACGCGCTTGAGAGCGTCACCGACGCTTGCGGCAATCGTGTGTCCGTCCATTCAGAGCCCCACCATCCCCTCTCGCTTGCCCAAAAGGCCCGTAAGAAGATCAAGGGCGCAGACGATTCCACCGCACTTCTGCACCAGTCCGTCGTCGTTCATCCTCGCCGCACCGTCGCTTTCGACCCGAGGCAGTGTCGACCCGGCCACCCACTGCCACTGCTGCGCAACGCCAAGGGCATCGAGCTCACCGTGCAAGCTTCCCTCGACCCGGAACAGGGCGCCGATTGGAACGTCAACGTCTCCTTTCAGCCCGACAACAGCGGTGCTTCCAAGGGCATGTGGGCACGCAAGCCGGCAGACGCCTCCACCATGCTGCTGGCCATCCCGGCCCAGAGCTCCCGCGTACCCTTCACCGTCGACAGCCCGGGTGTGTATCGCATCGACGACATCGTCGGGCCCTTCTGCGGTGGTGAGGTGGGCTCGCCCTGGACTTGCGAGGTGGTCGATGTGCCACCTCCCACCGCACAGATCAACTTTAGCAGCATCGACGACCGTTGTGCCGGCCCCGTCGGCGTCAAGGCCATGTCGGTCCTCACGGGCACACCGCCCTTCCAGCTCGAGTACGAAGTGACCAAGCAGGGCCGTCATCCCGAGCGCAAGGTCAGGACCATCTTTGACCAGACACGCGACGAGCTCGACTTCCGCCCGGACGTCGACGGCGCCGTCACGTACAAGTTTGTCAAGCTGCACGACAGCAACTATCGTGGCATCCCGCTCGACGGGCCGTCCTTCACCCAGGTCTTCCATCCGCTCTCCAGCGCCGAATTCACCGCGCCCATCCGCATGCACGACGACCGCGCCGTCATGCAGAGCTGCAGCGGCAAACAGGCCGAAGCCGACGTGCGATTCAGCGGCGCAGGCCCATGGGATCTCACCTACGCCGTCAGGGCGGGCGACCAGGTCGAGACCAAGGTGGTCAAGGCCATCTCGCAGTCGCCGCACAAGCTCAAGATCGACATCCCCACGTCCATGGCCGCCTCGGGCGGGCTGGTCACTGTGAGCCTGGTCAAGATCCGCGACGCACGCGGCTGTGAAAAGTCGCTTGCCACGCGCGATCTCAACGTCGAGGTGAGGCGCGTGCAGCCGAGCGTCGGCTTCCTCCCCGTCAAGACGGACACGGGACGTCACCAAGAGGTGCTGGCAGGCAAGGCGGCCAAGCTGCCCGTGCGACTGAGCGGGCAGGGGCCGTGGCACGTCGACTACTCGTACAGGGCGGACGAGTCGGCCGAGGAAGTTGACTTGACTGCCTCGCTCCACGGCGTCGATGGCGAGCTGCTGGCGGAGCGACCGGGCCTGTACACCATCAAGCGCATCCGAGACAACTATTGCCCCGGGATCGTACTTGAAGGCCAGGAAGATTTCCGCATCAGCGTTCGACCGCAGCCGCACGTTCAGTTTGCGCCGGAGGCAGGCACGGGGGCACGCAACGGAAGCCTCATCCGGGCGCCCGTGTGTCGCGGACAGCCGGACTCGGTGGACATTGTCATGTCGGGTCACTTCCCCGTCGATGTCGAGTACGAGCACATCTCACCCTCGTGGAACGCCGGCAGCGATGGCGAGGGCAATGTGCCGCTGGCGTCTGCGGCGCACGAGGTGGCCATGCACGGCAAGCGACGCAAGACGGCCTTCACGTCGGCGCTCGGCACCACCAACCTCGAACTGTCGACGGCGCTGTCGGGCTGGCACACATACGTGCTCAACACGATCGGTGATGCCGTGTATGCGCCGTCGCGGCTGCAAGGCTTCTCGACCGAGGCGCCAAGACGATTGGAGCAGATGGTGCTGCCTCTGCCAAGCGCGTCGTTTGCCAGCTCCGGCTCCAAGCACAGCCGCCCGTCGCTGTGTGTGGGCGACGGACTGGACCGGCTGAGCACGCTGCCCGTGCTCAAGCTGCACGGCCAGGCGCCGTTCACCGTGTCGTTCGAGGTGGTTTCTGCGCTGGGCTCGACGGGGGCAGCGGGTGTGGTGTCTCACCGCTTCACGCGCATGGGCATCCAGACGCACGACTACAAGCTCGACCTGGCCAAGGACGAGTTCTCATTCAGCAGCAAAGGGCTGTGGTCCATCCGAGTCGTCCAGGTGACCGATGCGAACCACTGCCAGTCGGCCGTGAGCGACGGTAGCAAGCGCAGCGGCGAAGACAAGGCGATCTCGATCGAGGTCGCCGAGACGGCGGATATCGCGGCGGTGTCTTCGCGCGAGGACTACTGCGTGGGCGAGGTGGTCGACTTTTCGCTGCAGGGTAGTCCGCCGTGGACGGTAGCGTACGACTTCAACGGCAAGGCGGCGACGGCCGCGGTGACTTCGTCCGAGTTCTCGCGCGTGGCGGACAAACCGGGCGTGTTGACGATCAAGAGTGTCGCGCACCAGCAGAACCAGTGTCGGCGCGACATTGACGCGCGCGTGGCGCAGGAGATGGTCAAGACGATCCACGCGCTGCCGAGCGTGCGCATCAGCGAGGGCAACCACTTTGTCGAGGATCTGCGCGAGGGCAACCAGGCGCAGATCATCTTTAGCTTCGAGGGCGTGCCGCCGTATTCGTTTACCTTCCAACGCACCCAGCCCGTCGACACGCACGCACGGCCCAAGGTGCTCGAGACCAACACGGTGAGCGGCATCCTGGAGGATAGGTACAGCATCTGGGCCGCCGTCGAGGGCACGTGGAGCGTCACCTGGCTCCAGGACCGTTGGTGCCAGGTCTCGATTGATTATCACAGTGGCGCCGCTACGCCGCTGGGCAAGTCGAGACTCGCCATCAAGAATGAGCCGCACAACCCGTAGCTCGCATGACCGACTGCACGAGACTCTCAAAAAGACAGTAATATCAAAGCATACTTCAGGATGGAGAATGGTGTTTGCTGGGATTCGAGTTGGTTGAAGCTGCTTGGCCTTTCTGTCGAGAAGGCTTTTTTTCCTCCACCCAGAGAGAAAGTGGAGAGAAAGGGTGAAATCGGTGACCGAGTTCCGAGAAGAGGTGCTTAAGGGGTGTCACTTTTCGATTTGAACCAACTGAGCCTTCTTTCACCATCACTACAGGCAACACTTTGGCACGCGGGGTAGCTTCGTCGACGATGCCGCCGAAACGACCGATTCGGAACGTGTTCGACGATGACGAGGAGAAGCACGGCCCGGATGGGACGCCGCCCAAGAAGGCGCGCGCTGAGGCCGGCACTGCTCGAGCAACGGCGAATGGGGTTACTAGCATCCAGGCGCAGGTGGCGGCGGCAAAGGCCAGAGCACAGGCACTGATGGCTGCGATGCAGAACAAGGGATCACAACCACCGACGGCGCCAGCACCAGCAAGAGCACCAGCACCTCCGTCAGCACCAGCAGCAACAGCGGCAGCAGCGGCGACACGGCCTGCTTCTGGGAGCATCCAGGCGCAGCTCGAAGCGGCACGCGCACGGGTCCAGGCACAAGTAGCCGCCCTCAACAGCAAGACCAAACCGCCCGCTGCATCCACCCCTGCTCCACGCCCTGCCGATGATCGCATCGCAGGCCCCTCTTCTGCTTCTTCCACTTCCACTGCGACTTCGTCTCGCGCACCGACGGGCATCCACCCGTTGCTTCTGTCCAACGCGGTTCCAAAAGTCGACACGATCCGCGGGAAGCCCGCAGTGCCTCCCGAGTCGAATCCATACCTGCAGGCTAGTCGGGCTGCGGCGGACGAGAGCGGCGAGGGACCCAGGGCGCGCTCGATGCGACGCGGCTTCCACTTCCACAAACCGGGCCGCCACATCGAAGAAGCCGAGGAGCTGCGTCACGAAGCACACGTGGCTGCACTCCAGCGCCGGCTCGAAGAAAGCGCGCGCCAACCGGACCACGAAGACAACCTGCGTCGTCCTGCTCCACCGGACATCGAGTGGTGGGACTCCAACCTTCTCTCCACGGCGTCGTACGACGCAATCCCCGACCTTTCCCCCACCTCACTGCTTACAGCCGAGGAGTCGCCGCTGCTGCTACAGGGTGCGGCGAGCGTGATTACGGCGTACGTGCAGCATCCGATCCCGATCCCGGCGCCGTCGGACTCGATCGAGGTGCGCCAGCGCGGGCTGATGCTCACCAAGAGCGAGGCGCGCAAGCTGCGCCGGCAACGCCGCGCGGCCGCACAGCAAGACACGCGCGACCGCATCAAGATGGGGCTGCTCCCGCCGGAGCCTGCGCGCGTGAAGCTGTCGAACCTCATGCGCGTCCTCACGTCGGACGCGGTTGCGGACCCGACCAAGGTCGAGGCGCGCGTGCGCCGCGAGATCGCCGCGCGCCAAGACGCACACGAGCGCCACAATGCCGAGCGCAAACTCAACCCGCAACAGCGACGGGAAAAAGCAGAGCGTCGCAAAGAGGCCGAGGAGAAGAAGGGGCTGTTCTGCCAGGTGTACCGCGTCAAACACCTCGTTTCGCCCGCCCACAAGTTCAAGGTTCGCAGGAATGCTCAGGACCACGCACTCACGGGCGTGACTGTTTTCCACCCCGACATGGCATTGGTCGTGGTGGAAGGGAGCGCAAAGGCGCTCAAGGCGTACAAGCGGCTGATGACGGTAAGGATCGATTGGACCGAGCCTGGCGAAGCCAAACCGAAACCCGACACTGGTGACGCCGAGGGCGAGGAAAAGGTGGGTGCATGGACGCTGCTCACCACCTCCACCGAGGCGGTCGATTGGAGCAGCAACGCCTGCGACCTTGTCTTCGAGGGTCCTATCCGCGACCGATCTTTTGCGGGCCGACCGTTCCGAGCCGTTTGGGCCACCACGGACGCCGACGCGCGCACCGCGCTCGGCTCAATGCAGGGCTACTGGGACGTCGCCAAACGCTCCACCACCGACGACTCGTCGAGCTTATGAAATTGAAAAGAAAAACTGGCATGCTTTCTATTCCGATGGTGGTTGTGCGGTGTTGATTCGTCCGGCACGTTCGTGGCTTGCGTCCTGGAGCATGTAGGCGGGCAACCACTTGTCGCCGTCTTGCAGTTGCGGGTTGGGTCGCGTATTGAAGGTCGAGCCCAACGAGGTATACCCGTGATCGTACAGGACGCAGTAGGGCACACCCCTTGCGCCCGCGCCCGTCGTGCCCCACTGCGTCTCCAACGTCTGCCTCCCAAACGGCAGTTGCGCTTCCGAGGTGGCTAGATGTGGACACCTGAGAAACTCCCACACATCGCCGTACGTCCAGTCGAGGATCGGGTGGATCCTTTCCACCCTCGGCCAGTCTTTATCCGTCCAACTCCTCGCTTCCAACTGCGGGCCATGCGGATCGTCTCTCCTTGTGCCCACAAAGATCGCCCTGATATCCCTACCTCCCTCCTCTGCAGTCGATCCTCCTCCGTTGAGATACGTCCTGATGCCCTCCTTCATCCCGCCATCCACGGCGACGATTCGCAGATTGTACCCGAACTCCGGGCTGACGCAAAACTTGATGAATCGATCCACCTCGGCGAAGGGTGAGGGGCAGGTGATGTAGAGTGCCGCCATTGCACGCGGGCCGGACGAGGCGTGCAGGCGACGCAGCACGGCCGCGAGGATGTGCACGAGCACGGTGCAGTCTTTACCGCCGTTGAAGCTGAGTGCACAGTGTGCCTCGCCCACCTCGCGCAGCACCTGCTCGCACAGCCCCACTGCGCCGGCCACCTTGCGTGCCAGCTCCGGATATTGCGCAGACACCGCCGTGTCCTCAAAGAGCGTGTAGACCGCATCGATCGACGAGAGCCAGGCGGCGCGCGCCGCCGATGGGGTGGGTGTTGCCATTGCGCCGCGTATAACCCGTGCGCCGGGATGCAAAGTGCACACCGCGTGTGTAGGGAGTAGACGCTGCCGAGAGATGGTGCGCAGGCCGACGAGCAGCATAGATGGTCGGCGCGAAGATACGATGCAGGTCAGTGCGCTCGCAATTTGACGTAAGCCCCAAACCGCTTTCCCACCGCGGTCCTTGTTTTCGGATTTCGGAGCGTGTGCCTTTTGTGGCCCCCGCCATCAACTCCAAGCCTCAGGGTCCACTCGTTGCTTCCCGCGAACCTTGGCGACAGCATGTCGGAAAGCACTCGCAGCCTGACCCCCGCGGCCCGGAGTCTTGCGCCCTCCGACCTGCCGCCACGCAAGATCCGCCTACGAATCGTCGCACCCACACCCTCGCTCCAATTCCTCGCGCCGTTCAGCCACGACGATCCGGACTGCTTTGCCAGCCTGCAGCGCTTCGTCCACGCACAGCTCATCAAGCGCGCACGAGATGCTGACGAGAGGAGCGAGCTGGAGAACGGGGGATGGGAGGAGTTGGCGTTCGAAATCGACGGATTCGACGTCCCTTTTGACGACCCCGATATCTTGCGCGACGGCGACACGCTCCATGTGCGTCTGCACGCGATCCAGCCGCAGCACGACGAAGAAGAGGAGGACGACGTCGAGGAAGACGACGACGAGGAAGACGAGGCGGAGGATTTGGAGCGCGGGATGGTGGACGAAGACGAGCGTCACGCCGTGCTGGAAGCTGCACGAGTGGCGGCCATGCTGCGTGCCGGCTTGCATCGGATGCCCACCGACGACGACGAGGCAGCGCGATCGACAGGCGAACCAAGCGATCTACCGCGCATGCCTGGCGCCATCGCCCCCATGACAAGACGCATCCCATCCAAGGCTTCGGCCAAGCAGAGCGCAGTGCCACCGCTGCCGAGCATGCCCTTGCCGCCTAGCTCGACCGGTGGTGGGGCAGCAGCTGCAATAGCAGCGTTCGAAGCGCGCCGAAAGCAGATGCAACGGCGCACCGCCACATCCGACTCTGACTCTGACTCGGATTCCGAGAGCAGCACATCGTCCAGCGGTAGTCCCTCATCGGACTCCTCCGACTCATCGGACTCTTCCGACTCAGGAACTTTGGACTCTTCCTCTTCCTCTTCCTCTTGTTCGGATTCTTCCGACTCCTCGTCGAGCAGCTCGTCTCCTTCGGAAGAGGCGACGATTTCGCACCGCGCCACCCCTGGCACTGGCACTGTCACTGGCACTGGCACTGGCACTGGGACTACTGATGCGCTTGTTCCGCCTGGGCAGGGCACATCACGCACAAAGCGGCGCAACCAGATGCGACGACTCAAGCAGCAGCTGTCGCGCCACGCCACGAGCAACGGTTCGGGCAATGACTCTGCATGGGTGGACGACCGCACGCCCGCCTACCGTATCGAGCGCACAGCTGTGCAGCCCGCGCCTGTGCACACAGCCGAGATGCCACCTGGAGCGGGCGCATTGGGCATCGATGACTGCGCTCCTCGAAAGCGCAAACGCGACGCGACGCCAGACACTCCGGGGGTGGGCGTTCGCCATATCGACTGCGATGCGTACTACGATTCCCAGCTGACCACGCTGCAAGCCCGTCCCTCGCAGCCTGCCGACGATGTGGAAGGCGTTGCAAAGCGCGTAAAGCTCGAGCCGGACGAGATTGCTGCGCCTGCATCGGGGGAGGTTGAGGCGGCATGGACACGCGTTTATGCAATCACACCTGCCCAGCTCTCGCGCTTCGCCGATGGGGCCGTGGCAACCATGGACACGTTGAAGGTGGGTGTGCCCCTGGTGGTAAGGCAGCTGGCACTGCATCCACACACCCGCTCACCCGCCAACCTGCTTCATGCCGCAGTAGTATCGTCCGTCGCCAATTCCCACATCCAGGTCCAAATCAAAGGCCCCTTCCTCGACGACGATACACAATGGCCCGACTCGCCCACGGAATCAGCAGTGTGGACCCAATCCAACCTTCCTCTCGCTTGGCACATCTAAATCTCACTTTGCCCATTTCACACGCACATGGCCGCTTGGTGCGAGAAAAAAAAAACACGTGCATTGCAGCAAAGCATGGTGATGAAAAGTGTGCGACCTTAGACGCTGATCTGGGCGGCGTCGAGATTGAGCGCGTGAAGCAGCAAATTGACGTTGCGAATGCGGATGTCCGGGTTGATATCGTCCTGGACCGCACCCGGGTTGCGCTTCTGCCACTCCTTGGCGCTGATGACATTCTCGAGAATCTTCTCGCGCAGCTCCTGCACGAGCATCTGCTGTTGATCCATCGACGCGCCGATGGCGAGCGCAGCCATGAGGTTCCAGCTCGGCTCGTCCTCGAGGTCGACGTTCCTGTACTTGCCCCCGACCGTCTGAGCGCTCAACTGCTGCCCGAGCCCCGAGCCCATGTAGTAGCTCACGCCGAACGGCAGCGACATCTTGGTGCGCGTCGAGGGGAAGAGCGTCACCAGCTGACCGTGCGCAGTGAGTCGCGAGAAAAGCAGTGCAAAGATCTGCTTGAACTGCTCCAACTCTTCCGCCGGCACATCGCCCTGCTGCTTGAGCGTCTCGGCACGCGACAGGAAGATGGTCAGGAACGCCACGCCCGGTCGAGTCTGCGTGACGCGCACGGGGTCATTGCGCTCCACAAACAGCGCCAACATGCCGGACACAATCCGCATCGGCGCCGTGCTGGCCATCTGCATCATGCTCGGCACAATCGTGGTAGCAAACGTCTCGCTCTGCCTCTCTGCATCCCTCCTCGCCTCGACGCGCGTGGGGTCGTCCGAAAGATCATCCAGCAACCGTCCGTTACGCACGACATCGAGCGACTCGAACGACGCCACCACCATGGTCAGCGCCGTCAGCGTCTGCTCCGAGCTCAAGTGGCGCAGCGCACGCGGCAACAGCCGCTTACCCTTGGCCGACGACAGCAGACTCACAAACGGATGCGGGTCCGAAATCTCGAGCGGCTCGAGCACGCGCAGCTCCGTCCACAGCGCTCCCGTCACCGCCGCCTGCTCGGCCTGGTGCGCATTCCACGCCGCCTTGGCCTCGGCACCCGCATCGTCGTCCACGCCCACCTCGCCCGCCGGCGCAGCGGGCGCATTGCGACGCAGCTGCTCCAACTGCAGCACCAGATCGTACAGCCTCTCCAGGATGCGCAGCACCTCGTGCTTGGTCAGCGGATCCCGACGCACGTCCGCATTGCCACCGCCACCGAGCGACGCACCCTCGAGCGCCTGTCGCACCGCGTCCCTCGCATGCCCCGCATCCGGAGCCGCCGCCGCCGCATCCGATCCGCGCTCCTTGTTCGCCTTGGCCGCATCCGCCGAGATCTGCAGCATCTGGCGCGGATTCTTGGTGGAGCTCAGGCTGACCCTGCCCAGCGCACCCTCGAGCGCCGCGCCCGAGGCCGACTTTTCCATGCGCTCCTTGCGGCTCTGCACGATGCGCTCCACCTGCTGCTGCATGCGGATCATGGCGTTCTGCTGCTTGTTGAGCTTCTGCTTGGCCTTGCCGCCCTTGTGGTTGGCGTTCGCGTTGCCGTTCGCATCGGCGTTGCCCGCCTCGGCGCCCGCCGTCGGCACGGGCGGCATACCGGGCCTCCGGGGCCCACCGC